CAGCAGGCAGAATAAGAACAGTTTAAAATTAGCGTGTAGGTGAAAAAGCAATTTGTTAAGGGTTGTGGAAGGTATAGGCATTAAGAAAATGCCTTTAAGGGAAATTATGGTTTTGGTGTCAATTAGAAGATGGAGTCAGACTTCTTAGCACTTACTAGTATAATCTTCAGATTTGTTGTTTTTAGGCTGTGGACTAAAGGAAACAATATTTCTTAACAAGGAAAATCACCTTGGAAAAATATTGTTAGGTAAGGTGGTAAGAACAGTCCTTCAAAATTGCACATTCTCTTGTCATCATAAAAAAACACACAGAGGAACAAGGAACGGAACTGAAAAAGTCTGACTTGTTTTCACCCACTAACAATAGGACTCAAGTGTATCAGAAATGATGCAGATGGCACAGGCTAGGACATGGCTCAGATCTGTTGTTCATAGAGTTGCTCTGAATCATACTCAATCTGAAAGCCCCTAAAACAAAAGCTACAACAAAAGCAACAACAACTGCAGTAGGATCATTGTCTCATCTGGTTACTGAATTTTGTAAGTACTAGTCACTGTGTTTGTGCTAAAACTACAAGATTAGAAGAGAGCTGAAGTTTAATATACCCAGGAAAAATTACTCTTTAAAATCTCTCTCCATACCTATTCAATGTGTATGCTGAGCACATTATTTGAGAAGCTGGAGGAGTGTGGTATCAGGAGAGAAGGGAGACTCATCAATAACCTGGGTTATGCAGATGACACAACCTTACTTGCTGAAAGTGAGGAAGACTTGAAGCACTTGTAGAAGATCAAGGAATGCAGCCTTTGGTATGAGTTGTGTGTCAATGTCAAGAAAACAAGGATTGTTAACACAGTGTCATGATCAATGAGAGGAGATTGAAACAGTCAACAGTTTCATCTTGCTTGGATTCACAATTAATACTTTGCTACCAGCAGTCAGGAAATAAGCATTGCACTGGGAAAATCTGCAGTTAGGGACCTATCCCAATTATTGAGGAGTAAGATGGCATTTTGAGGACTAAGGCCTCTGATTCAGGCCATAGTCTTTCTGATACTTGCTGTGCATCTAAGAGCTGGACATTTAGTGAGGATGACAGGAAAAGAATTGGTGCCTTTGTGCTGTGGTGTTGGAGAAGAGCACTGAACATCCCATGGACATTCAAGAGGACAAACAGATATGTCTTGGAGAGGTTGAAGCCAGAGCGCTCTTTGGAGGCAAGAATGATGAGGCTTTACCTCATATACTTTGGGCAGGTTGTTAGGAGGGGCTGTTCCTTTGAGAGGGACATGATGTTGGGAAGGGTGGACGAAGGAGAGAAAGACCCACAACCTGGCGTATTGCCATGTTGACTGCGGCAATGGGCTCTTGTGTGTCAGGATATGAGGATGGTGCAGGATAGAACAGGGTTCAGATCTTTTGTTCATAGGGTGACTATGAGTCATACTTGACTCGTCGGCACCTAACAACAACATACAAGTCAGTCACAAGTTATGTCGTTAGATGCTGTCTGGTTGATTCCAACTCAGAAACTCACTCATTGCCTCTGAGTCGGTTCTGACTCATCGTCGATGTAATTGCTGTGAATTGTGTGGAAGGATGTTGCTTATCTTTCTTTCACAGAACTGCTTGCTAGAGAAGCCAGCCAGCCTTTGAAGTAAGCAGTACGACTCTTTACCCAACAGTGCCACCCAAGATAGTTCCCTATAGATAGCAGAACGAAACATGGCCCAGTCTTGTGCCATCTTTACAGTCTATTGCTATGGGTGAGCCCATTCTCAGAACGGTTGTATCATCCATGTCCTCTTTTGTCCACCCTCTACTTTGCCAAGCCTGATAGAGTGGCCCTACCTCGAGAGAGCATGACTGTAGTATATGAGACCACGTCTTGCTGTCTTTGCTTCTAAGAAACATTCTGGCTCCGCTTCTAAGACAGGCTTGTTCATTCTTCTGAAACTCCATGGTATATTTAATATTCATTCCCAACATCATAAGTCAGATGCATCAACTCTTGCTTTTTCTTATTCAGTGTCCAGTTTTTAAAAGTATCTTAGGTGATTGGGGGAAAAACTGCTATGGTTTGAGTCAGGTCCTCAAAGAGACATTTTTTCTTTTGGACACAGCGATCTTTGGCAGTAGATTTTCCTCACTGCACTGTCTTATTTGTTTTCTTGACGGCTGCATCCATGGACTTTAATTGTGGATCCAGATAAGTGAAATCTTTGACAGCTTCAATCTTTTCTCCATTTATCGTGATGCTGCTACTATGTAGAATTGTGAGGATTTTCTGCTACTTGTAAGTCATAACTGAAGACCATCTTTAATCTTCTTAATAGGTCCACCTTCAAGTCTTCTCTCAGCAAGCAAGGTTATGTCATCTTCATATCACAGATTATATCTGATTCTTCCTCTGTCATCCTGATGCTGTGGTGTCCTGAGGTGTCCAGCTTCTTAGATTCTTTGATTTGTATACAGACTGAGTAAGCCTGGTGAAAAGATCATCTCTGATGCATACGTTTCTTGCTTTTAAATCATGCAGCATCCCCTTGGAGTCCGAACCAACTGCCTTTTGGTCTATGAGCAGGTTCCTCCTGAGGGCATAAGTTCAGAGGTCGTTCTGAGGACTCAGTTACCTGCCAACAGCAGAAATCTCTCTTTAGCTGGTTTTCATCCAGCTCCCAGCTTCTTAAGAAATCTGGATTTTCAGTATGTTGTACTGCCTTCAGACACCCACGTTGTGTTTTCCTCCCCCCACTCTTGTTAATGAATCTAAGTCCTAACACTTGTTCAGACTTTGTTTTACGATTCAGTTTTGTAGTTTGCTCACACCTCACAGAGACTGTTCTGCGCTGGCGGATTATAGTCTCTTGAGTGAAAATGATGGGACTGGGGAGGATTTTTTCTCTCTTCAGTCATTCCCCCTCCTCCCCCAAATACTGTTTGGGAAAATAGTTAAGTAAATGTGGATCTTGCTTAATGTGAAGTACATAACTAGGGAGTCTCATTGATTGTTTTTCTAAGTTTGTCTTCGTTTGGATTGTGCACACCTGCTCCAGACTAATGTGCATTAATCACTGTTCACACCCTGTTCCTGATGCGGTTATTATTATTAATAACAGTACCACCCGTGGAAACATCTGAATCTTGTGCTTTAGCTTGTAGGAACTGAGCACTGTGTTCTTTTTCTTGAAACAGACTCAACTGGTGTCCTCTTTCTTGGGCGATGAAAAAGATTTTGCAACCTGTTTCTCCCCTGTAAATAACTTATTTAGTGCTGCATCCCAAATATTTTGCTTAGGTGAAAAGGAGGCTACTTTGTGGGGGGTTTTGAGGATTAGGTGTTATATACAGAGCAATGTACTAGGTACAGAAGCTATGCTGTGCTTCCTGAAGAAGATGGGTGACAGAGCTTCTTTGTCTTTGCATGTTAAAGGATAGTCATGAGTGATTTTTTATATAGTTACAAAAAGGGGGAGACCATCTCAGACTCTTTGTAATTTATAATTATTTTGAAAATGAAACTGCACGTCAGATCATTTCGTGGAAACTTTCCACTGGAACAAACCAGAACATGTTGGTGTCTCCTTCTATTCATAGGGCATAAATTGGACCTCTAGACTTAGTCACTGAGCATCCAGATTAATAGAGAAGGTAAAGAAGGCCGACAGGTGCTGAGGAAACCTCCGGGCGAAATGGTGTCCCTGCATCCCTCAGTGAATGAATGGTGGAGTATGAGAAGGACACAGTCCTCTAGATTCTCTTCTAGGATTCTTAATACAGTGTTCTAGAACTTCAGGTTTCCTGTTCTAGAACTTCAGGTTTCCTGTGTGCAAATACCAGGTTGTGGGTCCCAATTTTTAGAAGCATCTGTTTTTCTGTGTTTTTTAAGGTGAAATCGGGGGGGGGGGGAATCTAGAAATTTGTTTCCAAATGAATCTCTGTAAGTGACTTGGTTGTGTGCCCTGGGCATGAGCTCTGGTGTATGACCAGTGGTCAGTCTGTGGAGAAATGAGATTAGAGGAAAAGGTCTGAAATTTTTTATTTGAAAGATACGGGAGTGGAATGTTTGGCAGCGCATGGGACTTCTGAGTGGCTGATACATTTGATATATATGTCGTAGGGAGGGCTTCTGACCTCCTGCGAGTTCTGTAAAGAGATTCTCATTATATAGTATGACACGTAATGTTTGCCAGCAGAGGCTCTCTTCATCCCTGAACTTTTAAAGTCAAACAGCATTCTGGAAGGAAGGCTGCTTGTGGCTCTTGTTTTGCTTCATGCAATGATGAGGAAGTTGGAGGGAATCAGGGGAGAATCCAGGAGCCAGGGAAACTTGATCTCTGGCTCACTCCACTGTTTAATAATATTAGTTGTGCACGATGGTTTATCACAGTCCCGCTCTGCTGCAGCTGACTCCCTCTCCCTTCTGTCTTGTCTTTCTGTCTTTGTGGAGCCAGAGTGTTTTATTTTCCTCCTTTCAAAAGGAAATTGAAACCATAGGAGAGGGGAAAGAATAAATATATTTTACAATTCAATGTCTTCTTGACCTGGGTTGCAAAAGCAAAATCTTGGTTTGCACAGAAGGCCATGGAGGCATCCTAGAGAGATGCTTGCGTTTTTCTGTTTTCAGAGAGGGGGGTGTTGCGTGGGGGTGAGCACTGATGAGGGAGGACAATCCAGAGTAAAGCCCAGGACGGCACTGCAGTGGACGCCCTCGCTTCAGGCCTTTTCCTGATGAGTGCCTTACCCATAGCGCCAGAGAGTCATACCGCTTAACTTGGCAGCTGTAGGGAGTATAGGACAGTCACTAGATTGAATAATGAAAAAAAGGGAATTTCTAGCATTTTTACTTTATCCCTGGAACTTCTCCAGAGCCTAGAAGGAGCTCTTGTATCCCTGTCTCTAGGCTCTGGTAAGAGTCAATTAGATTGATTCTTCCAGATTTTTTTTTTTTTAGGTTGAGATGTGGAAAATGATCTTGTGTATTGTGTTATATTTCCAGAACTCTATGGATTTGATGTGCTCATAGACTCTACCCTGAAGCCGTGGTTATTGGAAGTGAATCTCTCTCCTTCTTTAGCCTGGTAAGTCAGTTTCATCAACCAAAAGGTGACAGACAGAGTAGCAGTAAAACATTTGAGACAGGGAAGATCATATATTTTTTACTGAGAAGTGGTTCCCCCGACCCTTCGTAGTGAATAGATAGTTTTTGTTATGTGCCATCAAGTCAGAACAGTCTAATAGTTGACTCTCCAGTGGTGTTTCAGAGGCAGTAAATTGCACAGGATGAGATTGGCTGTTTTTATTCTTTAGAGGAGCTGGTAGATTCAAACCATGGGCCTTTGGGTTGACTGCATAATTCTTTTTTATTTTTTTTTTGCATAATTCTTTACCCATTAATGATGATTAGAATTTCTTGAGTGGAAGTGGAATGGAGTGATGGTTTATGGCAACCATAGATCTCTGTCCTCTTTTTTTAAAAAATTGTTTTATTTTAATCATTTTCATGAACATTTACAGAGATTTTGGATTTCCATTCATTCATTGCTGCATTTCTCTCCCCACCCAGCCCTCGCCCCCCCCCACCAGATCTCTGTCTTCTTAATCAATTTATAATGTATGATCACTAGGCCCAGTCTACTGGATTTCTCAGGGATGGCTCTTGTATTCCTTTTGCCCCACATGCTGTAATTATTTTTTTTTAAACTTTGTAGACCTTCTGATAAAGCTAAAAAAATACATAAGGTATTATATTCCCTTTATTACCAAAGGCTTATGTGAAAGGAAGCCCACAGAGATTATATAGCTGTATAGCTGGACCTAGGTAATGCAGATTAAAGCAGCCCATTTTGCCACATACAGTATATCCTAGTGTCCTTCCAAGATTGACGTATCAAAACTTTAAGCAATACTAACCTTTTTTAGCCAACCTATTGTTTAGAAGAAGGAATGGAACATATTTTTCATAATAACAGAAGATTCTGCTTATATTCTCAGTGACAGCCAGAATTTCTATTAGCTATACCCTTTTCTAAACAGAGAAGCCTAGAGATTTATGCCAAAGACCACCCAGCTCCTAGGTTTTTAAGGATGAGAGATACTGGCAAAATGCCAAGCAATCAGATCGAGACAGATGGACGACTGTGCAGTGGGAGTTTGGTTTGACTACCTCAATAGTGCGGTAGAGCAAGGTGTTAACACATTCTTTACATGGTAGGCTACAGTTTTGTCAGTTTTGCAGATTTCACAGTATAGCATCCAGGGTGAAAACTTGTGAAAGTCAAAATTTAATAGTACTACCTGTTTTTCTGGATTTCACAAGTTTTCAGCCTTTGAAAGGGCACATTCTTACTACCTTTTCTCACAATTGACTACATTTGACTATTTCTTTTGCTGAATTTAGCAGACAGTATTTTCGTTTTCCGCCTCTGGCAGCCTGTGCCTGACACAGGTTCTGACTGCTCCAGCTTTTACTATTGAGCATTGGACGTTCTCCGGGGTGGCGCATTGGCTCTCGCAGTTAGAGTGGTCTGGTTTGTGGGGTGGCACCACAGCACCAAGGCCGAGGTTGGCCTGCGTTGTCAGAGTGAGGCCGTTTTGCCTTTTATCCACACACTGGCCTTGTGGCTTCTGTGCTTCATCTGGTATTTGGGTTTTTGTTTTTTGGATTTCTCTCTCTCTCTGTCTTTCATTTGCAAACCTAAGAAGATTGAAGCCAAAGAGAAAATGAAGCCTAAAAAAAAAGGTTGTTAGTTCCGTTGTATCAGCTCTGATTGATAGTAACCCCGAGTACGAAAGAACCAAACTCTGCGTGCTCCTACACTGTCCGCACACTTTGTTCCCTTGGATGTGAACTCGGCTGTTCTATTGCAGCAGGAAAAGATGATTTGAATGATAGGCTTACTCATAGGAGAGTACATTAAAAGTCAGAACATCACAGTCCATGGTGATAATGAAGCAGTATTTTGTCTCGTGAAAACTTAAAGTACACAAGACTTCCTAGCTGAAAATGTTAGGCAATCCATACCTTACTGCTGTGCTCGTCTAATGGAGACCCCATTAAACAGTGAGCTTTTATTTGTAGTCTAGTTGCCTCTGTGTGTGGTTTTTCTTTTGTGTCTTGAGGAGTATTGGAGGTCTTCCCCCTGTTCCTCTCCCTCTGGTATTGCACGTTTGAAAACTTGATTTTATCAAGGGGCCACTATTCCACTGACCTGCAACATTCTTATGATCGATTACTTTCTTTTTGTGTTAGTGACGCACCCTTGGACCTAAAGATTAAAGCCAGCATGATTTCGGACATGTTCACTGTTGTTGGTGAGTAGCATGTTTTCTGCACTCGGCCCACTTACAAAGCTAAGCAGAGCATCAGTTCGGTCCAGCTGTATAGGTTTTGCCAACTGGCAACTTGTGAGCTATGCTGAATGTTTTGTACTAAAAGATGATATTTTCAGGCAAGTATTTATACATTTCTACTCCCCCCTGGCTCCATTCTGTCCTGAAGCTGAACCACAACTTAGGGTGAGACCTGGGGTACAAGAATTACGAGCTGAAGAAGAGAATTAAGGAAAGATCTGGAGAAAGTATCTTTTTCTCTGAGCAGGGAAAATGAAACCCAGTGAAGAAGCCTTGTTAGAGAGGAGACTGGCTGCATTTCTGCTCGACAGTCTGCTGGTCTCAACACGATTCCTCCTTGTAATAGTTCTAAATAGAGCTGCCCAAGGAAGAAATCCCTTTTTGAGTAGAGAGGCCAAAATTTTGAAATGGAGATGAACAGTCAGGTGGCTATTTTGTGAGTTGTTTTTTTCTTTGTTCTTTTGTTGTTGTTTTTTTAAAGAAAACCATACAAAAAAAGAAATAGTAAATTGTGTATGAGAAGAACTAGTAGTACTTGATGTATCAGCAGATGCTGTAAAACTTTGCTACTCCTCATTTTCCTTTGGAGGGGACCCTGCTTCTTTTTAGCAAGTAAATGAAAGGAGCACAAGTCCAGATTCTTAAACCGGAGATAATCTCCAAAAGTGTACTTGGAAAGTTGCTGCTAGGCCGCGGCCACAGTTATAGGTGGAGCAGCTTATAGAGCGAGACCCCTCACTCCTGTGTGCTCCAGTAAAAACATTCTTTTTCCAATTACCACCCAGGAAGTGACTTTAAAATAACTCATTTTTCCTAACAGCTTGGTGTTTTGATATGGTGGTTTGCACCTTTACCCTGAAGTTCATTAAAACCTTGTTGTTGTGTATTGTTGAGTCAGACCCAAAGCTGACCCTTCCAGCAGGTTTTCAGAGGCAGTAATCATACAAGAGGAGATTGCCTCTCTTTTCCTGTGGATTCAAACTGCTTGCCTTCAGGAATGCAGTATAGCTTCTTGGCAGTAGGCCAACAGAGCTCCCTACTCTTTTTAGATCAGAATCACGTTTCAGCCACCAGAGAGGCTGACAGACCCTCCTGGTTTCCTTTCTTGTTCTCACCGTTTAACGGTGGTCCAGAGTTCAAGCAGAGTATGTGCATGGCAGAGGCAGTGCAGTGTTCTTGAGGCTGGATCTCTATAGTATTTAAGACAGTGACACTGAGTTTGTATATCTAAAGAAAAGGTGCAGTGAAACCCGTTGATTTCTTAGAAAGTGGAAGTTTTAATGTTGCTCATTCCACATTCAGGATTTGTATGCCAAGACCCTTCCCAGCGGGCATCCAACCGGCCAATTTATCCCACCTTTGACACTTCCAGGAGAAACCCTTTTCAGAAACCTCAGGTAAGCACATTCAGCAGCAGGGAGCCCAAAGGAGGTTTAGTGGAAAGTGGCTGCTGATACAAATGAGCAGGCTGAGGACGTGAGGTCGTGGAGAGCAGGAGGCTTTTGGGAGCAGTCTAGACGGGAGACACTTTTTTCCAGCTGTGGCCAATCACTTATGCTTCTCACAAACTTACTCTCTGGCTATTTTTTATTTTTCCTCTTCTTTCCCCTGGGCTTCTGTTTTCTTGCTGTCATCCCTTTTCTTTTCCTTAAAAATCCACACCTACCGGTGATTAACACACGCAAACACAAAGCACAGAGAAGGAGCCTTCTGAGTCTTTGTCATCGTGCTTCTCCTTTCTTTTTGATCTTCCATTTCGGAAGATGCTCACTTGGAAGTAGTACCTCCCGTACAGGGGATTCTCCTCACAGGGGCCCTCGGTTACCAGGATTTGTTGGGGTTAAATGAGAGAAATGCCTAAAGAAACGTGCATGTGTTTGAAACTTTGATGCATCGTGCTGCTCCAGTCTTTGTGTATCTTGCATTTAATTCTGCTTAAGCCAATCAGCTAATCATTCCAGCTATTCATTCCCTCATGGAACCAGTCCCTGCCTCTCTGGACCCTGAGCTACCACATTTGGTTTGGCCACCACATCTGATGGCTTCTGTAAGATCCACCTCTCTCCTGTCTTCAAATCTGGACCAAGTCCTGTGTACTCAGGACTTCAGGAGATGATCTTTTATCCATCTTCTTCTGTCATGACCTTTACTTTTAATTTCTTCATATTTTGCTGCTTCTCTCTTGTGTTTTATATACATTGATTGATTTGCTGCTTCAAATTGCCCCATTTCTCTGCCAGATTGTAAGCTCTTTGAAAGAAGAAATACTGTCCTTTTCTCTCCCGCCTTCTGCTTCTCCTCCTCCTTGTTCCTTTTAGCCCTCCAGCCCTTTTTTTCTCCTCTTTTTTCCTACTCGTCTGATTTAGAGAATGTCACTTCTGTTTGGCAAGTGTATATGCTATTATTCCAAAACTGTTTCTTGCATAGGAACTACAGGTGAGTAGTATATATGAGTAAATAGGCCCGGGTGTATAACGCAGCAAAGAGGTACGTGACTGAGATAAACTGGAGGTGCCTGTCTCATGCACTGGTTGTCATGAGTGAGAGCCAAGTGTCAGACCTTCATACCGTCAAGAGGAATCAGGGGGCTTGTAAATACTGACAGTGAGTTCAGTTTTTTTCCTTTTAGGTTTGTTGGTTTAGGGTTTTGTTTTGGATTTTTTTTTTGGAGGGAGGTGGGAGCTGAATTCCATCTTTGGACTGTCAGTGACCCCTTGCTCTAGAATCGCTCCTTAATTAAGATCATAGTGTGAAATAGAGTGTGCTGTATTTTAAGGCTGTGGTCTTGGATTAGAAGTAAAACTTGGCAGTAGGGCCATACACGATCAGTGCAAAAACACAAATAAAAGATGGTGTTTGTGTCAGTTTTTTGTTTGGTTTTAAGATTTTTAATAAAAGGAGAGGATTCACCTAGGTATTGTTGTTGTTGTTGTTGTTATATGCCGTCGAGTCGTTTGCGACTCATAGCGACCCTGTGTACAACAGCCCTAAACCCTGCTCTATCCTGTGCCACTCTCATTGCCTCTGACACACCCATCCCGATTACCCCAGTCACTGAATCAATCCACCTCATAGAGGGTCTTCCCCTCCTGCACTGTCCCTCCACTCTACCCAGCATGATGTCCCTCTTTAAAGACCTGTCTCTCCTTACAACATGTCCAAAGTATGTCAGACGAAGCCCCAGAATCCTTGCCTCCAAGGATCAGCCTGGTTTAATCCTCTCTAGGATGAATCTGTTTGTTTTCTTGGCAGTCCATGGTACATTCAGTACTCTTCTCCTTAATTTAGAAAATTGCATTATTTTGCAAATTGCCTCCGTGCAATAGGTGTGTGACAGATCTTCTCAGTCTCTGCCATAAAGGGTCCTCTTTCCTTTCAGCTTTACTTGGCAGGTTTGACTGTAGGGGTAACTAATGTCCATCTTAGATCCCTTTTCTTAGCTCACTTGTCAGTTTTTATTGGTGACTTTGCAAGTCGTGGAGACTATTCACCCTTTATTATATGGACTGGTACACAGTGGGGAGGTTTCAGCCTGAAGTAGGTTGCAGAACACTTGCCTAAAGGCAAAAGAAACTGTAGATTAGTTATGTGTGTTGTGTGGAACAAAATTTCAGGTGGAGTGCTTTATACCAGGATCGTTGGTATCTGGTAACACGGGCGTGCTGACAGGTGAAGCTGCGGTAGGTATCCCACAGGGGACAGCAGTGTGGACAACAAATGCTTCTGACCATCCAGCCACAAAATGTCCAGGTCTTGCTGAGCCACCATTTGTTCTCTTTGTGTCAGATAGTTCATGGATGGCATATGTGGGTGTGTTAGGAGAAGATAAGGCTTTATTCCATTTTTCTGTCTTTTATAGCGTCCAGTGTCTGCACAGTTTCCCTCATCAAACACCAAGCAGGTAAGTTCTGGATTGTTTGCAGACTTAATTCCAATTTTACTACTGTTCCCCCAGAGAAAACCTTTTGGCTTTCTTTTTTTTTTCTCAGTACATATTCTATGCACTTAGATTTTGTACCATTTGATAACATAAAATAGTATAAATGGAGGTCTTCTTGCTTATGGAACAGAAGAGAAGGCAGAACTCAGGAAATGATGGATTCTCTTTTTCTGCTAGTGGTTATCCTGTGGAAGCGATTGAATCTAAATAGTGAGCAGAGCTTAAAAGTGTATCTATTGCGTTGACCACAGTGTTCTAGGAAGGAAATATTTTAGTGCAGAAATGACCTTTCTTTTCTTTAAACGTCTTATGAAATGTACCATTACTAGCAGTTTAATAGTAACAACAGTTTCACATTGACTATTGGGCTATTAATTGTGCTTCTTAATAGATGACGTTTTTATACGTGGGGATTTGTCATTTTATGACTCTTAGAAGCTCTGTTATCGTTAGTATCTCCAGGTCTACTTCTAAAATGAAGTGAAAAGATACCTGCCTGACCTTAGTTGTTAGACCTGGGGGGCTTGAATTGTGCATGAGTACCAGAGTCCTTTACACGTGAAAAAAGAAATAAAGTAAAATAATTTGTCCTTCTCTCTGAATGCTCTGGGTTTCTCACTGGCAGTATTTCTTGATGGCAATATTTTGGATTACTTCTCACTTTCTTTTACACAGATCTCCTTTTTAGTATCTTTGGAGACAGTAGAAATACTGCTCCTGTTCTGTGCTGCTTTGGCATGAGAGATAGGGATGTTCGCGAGCATAATCGTGAAACCTGTCACTCTTGTTGTGGTTGCGTGCTGCCGTCAAGCTGGAACAGCCTTGGAGTTGAACTCCATTGGGTTTTCAAGGGCAGTGAATTGCACAGAAAGAGATCCATGAAACAGCTCGTGGATTTGAACAGGGTGCCTTTGTTGTTGGCATCACGGCTCCTTTCTGCCAGGTCACCAGAGCTCCATATGTCATATTGTTGTTGTCAGGTGCTGTTGACCCTATGAACAACAGGCCTGAACCTTGTCCTAGTCTGTGCCTCATCATCTCTGTCACACTGAAGCCCATTGCTGCAGTCATTGTGTCTGTCCACCAGGTCGAAGGTCTTCCTCTCTTCCGTCAACCTTCCACCTTCTCAAATGTGATGTCTCTTTCCAGTGCAGAGCCTCTCCTAGCAACATGCCCAAAGTATGCGAGGTGAGGCTTTATCATCTTTGCCTCCAAGGAGCACTCTGGCTGCCCCTTCTCCAAGACATATCTGTCTGTTCTTTTGGCAGTCTTTAACACCACACCTCAAAGACATCAGTTCTTCTGTCATTCTTATTCACTGTCCAGCTATCAGAAGCGTAGCAAGTGATTGAAAAGACCATCGTCTGTATCAGGCACACCTTATTTCTCAAACTAACATCATTGCTCCTCAGTAATATGGAGAGGTCTCTGACTGCCGACTTTCCCAGTGCAGTATGTCTCCTGATTTCCTGGTTGCTGGTATCAAGTGTTATGTCACATTAGTTCTTTCATAAAAGTTCAGGTAAATTTGTTTTGGCATTTGTACTTTCTGATACAGTAAGTTTGACAGCTTCAATGGCTACCCTCTTCACAACTCAGAACAAACATGAGGAGTCTCCAGCCGTGTGATTTGCAGCATTTGAAACCTGCAGGAGGGTCAGCTCGGAGGTGGAGCTGAGTCCATGGCAATGAATATTTTTAGTTTCTGATAAAGTGGCTTATATGGCTCATGTGAATCTAAGAAATGAAAAATGAAAGACTTTCTGATGGCCTCATATTAAGTTCATAACTGGTTAACGAGATCCTAAAGTATGAGCTTTGGTGTCTCTTTGGGTAAATTCAGGGCTCTGTAATACTTAGCCTTCTGCACAAGTACCTGATGTGTGCTAGCTGTTTTCAATGGAAAATTTAAAAAACCCAACAAAACAAATAAAAACTGAACAGCAAGGTTGTTGACTCCAAAATGCCTACATTCAAAATAGCTGTTAAAGTAATCTGTGTAACGGAGCACTGGAAGTGCCATTCTACTGTGTTCTGAATTTGACTCAAAAAGGTTCTTTTGTACGCAGTTCTAATCTTACTTTTCCTTTGTCCGCCTTAGTTCTGTTCTGTCTAACTGGTTGAATTCGCTGGCTGCAGAGTTCTTGTTGGTGAACAGAGCATCCTTCTAGGAGTTAGGAGTTTGAAAACTGCTTCCATGACAGGAAGCATTTCCGGCTTTATTCAGCCAGCTTTTTACATACCGAAGTCTTTGACTGGTTTCTCTTTGCAGTATTCTGTTCTGTCAGTGCCTTTTTGTTAATGGACCACTTTCAACTGCACTGTAATCAAGATAATGTTTGATCAGAGCTGCGAGAAAAAAGAAGAATATTCACTGCTCAGACCACTTAGACTACTTTGTCACATTTTCTTCTTTGTTGCTGTCAGACTGTGAAGTCATTTCAGGTTTTGGTTATT